TCACGTGGAATTGCTGTGCGTTAATAACTCAGTAAGTAACCAAGTTCCTTATCATTGTAGATATGCTTGATTGAGAGTCATTGTGTATTTTGCTTTAAATCGCCTCGGGAAAAATATTACATGTGTAAACATTTCCTGCTCTGTCTCTTTGTTGTGTTAGAGATATCAGGGGAGATTCACTTATTACTCAAGGGCCGAATAATATTAGTCTCGGGGTGAACTCTTTTCGTTGCAGCTGGTGAATGAAAGAGGACACATGTAACTTGGTCCTAAATATTTATTACTTTCCGTGTGGTACAACAATTAAGTCACCAAAGAGGGAACATCACAGAAAATGGTCTCATTGCGAAAAAAACGCTCCTCTTTTCTCTCTCCCTCTCCCTCTGTCTCACAGACACCCCAAACCGCAGCCCAGTCCCGTTGAAGGACCCGCACATTTTACAACACCTATAAACATAACGGTTGTTTGTAATCTGATTATTTGTTATTATCAACGCGTTACTGGTCATGTGTTGTTGATGTAAGATTGTATTCAGTTTGATCGGAATATTCATATTGATTATAACGAGCTCGCGTGAGAGCTGTCACCGCACACACACACAGTGTAGCATGGGGGAGAGGTGAGAGAGGTGAATCCAGTCAAAGAAGCTCTTAACTAGCCGCTCATTCTGTCTTTATATTCTGCTCTGTTTGTCATAAAGTCAGCTCAATGCAGGTTTTGTATCAAAATCTGACTCTGATGGCAACTCTGCCTCTACAGTTGAGTAAAACTCTCAGCGGTTTATCATAAACTTTTCATCGATCATTTTCCCGCGATTGACGGCAAGAACGAGCGCAGACGCGTCTGATTGACAAGCAGCACCTACATGTGACATGTCAAAACGCCAAATAGGATGAATCTGTGCCGCATTTTCTAAACGTACTATCTATATTTAGCTGTTGGCTTGTACGGTGGCGCTAAACTGTCAAAACACCTCTGATAAAGGCTTTTTCGGACATGACATATTTGTCCATGTGTACATCACTGTAACAAGTTTTATTCATAATGGTTTCAGTTCTTAGCTTTTTCATTTTCATCTTATTTAAATATATTTATCTTGCTTGTTAATTAAATACCATTTTGTTATTTAAAATATTATTTTATGCAACAATCAACTTGCATGTTCATTTGCAATAAAGAAAAGGAAATAATTTTTTGCATGCTGATTTATGTGAAATCGTGAATATAGGTCTATAATCACCTTGCAATTTTGAAGTTATAGCTTTTTTGCTTTGTGTATAGGCTATTCAGTTTATAGGAGCAGTTCAATCTTTTTTGAAGTTTGCTGTAAAAAAATATAACAATTTAAAATTTTTATGATTATCGGCCCATACATATTGGCTATCGCCCTCAAGTCTGAAGAATTATCGGTTATCGGTATCGGCCCAAAAATCTTTATCAGTGCATCCCTTGTTTAAGATATTGCAAATTCCTTCACAGCGTTACGTAACCATTGTTTTGACGTTTCTACAGCTGGATTTGAAATAAATAAGATAAAAGGGAGCTATAAATTTTTTTGATTAAAATCAGTGACTATGCACAGGTTATTACATACTCCCTTTTCACTTTCTAGCCATAACTTAAGCACTTAATCATGGCCAAACCATTCAAGATATCAAAAATAATAATAATAATAATAATAATAATAATAAGAAGAAGAAGAAGAAGAAGAAGAAGAATTGTTTGCTACCAATTTACCATCCTCAATGTCTTGATGTCATGCTGAGCAAATTTGTTGATTGTCAAACTATGCATTAAAAAACAACAACAACAAAATATCAAAATTTCCTGTTTGTCAAAGTGCTGATTGTGAGCATGAAGATTTAGGATGAGGATCATGATTGTGTGAATTTTAGTGACTGATGGTCAATAGAACCCTGCGTGAGACTTTTTATTATCATGTTCCCACTGAATGTCTGACCAGAGCTGTACACGAGTCGAACATGCCATACACACAAAGCAGGGGTGGAATGTGTATCTGCCTTTTCCCACAAAAGTTGTGATCTATACCAAAAAAAATCACAGGAGAATGTGCAAGTAAATTAATGACAAACTATTTTAATTCATATGTGCCATAATTATAAATTAATAAATTAACAAGTATTGTCATGTACATTCAATTTTAGCAAGGTTTAACATGCACGTTTTATAAATCAGACCCCCGGAGAGTCCACTCCCACTACTTGCATGTTCCACTTCTGCTCACACCACCAATGTTTGTGTCCACTCCCGGCTGCTTGCATGGACCTTCTCTCAGAGCTTGTGACTACAAACAAATATTCATTCCAATTAACATCCAGAATAAAACGCCTTAAACATGATTTTATATGAGATAATGTAGGCTAATGCAAATCCAAAGCACCACATATGACAAATATCATTAGCCTTTTAAACTGCTCATTCATTCATTTTCATTCACTTTTCCAGGGCCAGGTCAGGTCCTCCTCCTGGTAGGACATGCCTGGAACACCTCCCCAGGTAGGTGTCCAGGAGGTATACGAAACAGATGCCTGAGCCACTTCGACTGACCTCTCTTGATGTGGAGGAGCAGTGGCTCTACTCCAAGCTCCTCCCAGGTAAAACAGCTCCTCACCCTATCTATAAGGGTGCGCCCTGCCACCCTGGGAAGGAAACTCATTTTGGCCGCTTGTATCCAAGATCTTGTCCTTTCAGTCATGACCCAAAACTCATGTGATACTTGAATTCCACCTGAGGTAAGGATTTTCCTCCAACCTAGAGAAGTCAAACCACCTTTTTCCGATGGAGCACCATGTCCTCGGCAGCAAATCGCCCCAGTGCATGGTGAAGCTCCATGTTCGATGAAGCCAAAAGAACAACATCGTCTGTGAACAACAGAAAAGAAATCCTTTGGTCCCCGAACCGGACCCCCTCCAGCTCAATACTGCACTTAAAAATTATGGACAAAATTGGTGAAAAGAGCAGCCCTCCTGGAGTCCAACATACACTAGAAACAACTATGACTTATTGCCGACAATGCGAACCAGACTCCTACTCAGGGATGAATATAGATATGAAATGGCCCATAACAGAGTGCCTCTGACTCCATACTCCCATAATTCCATGAGAATGCCCGTGTGGACTGGTTGGGCATACTCCCATGAACCCTCGAACACCCTGGTGAGGGTATACAGCTGGTCTAGTGTACCACAGCCTAGATGAAAACCGCATAGTTCCTCCAGGATCCTAGGTAAACCATCAGCCGGATCCTCCTCTCCAGTACCCATAGACTCTTCCAGGGAGGCTGAGCTTTTATTTTCCTTTAATTTACTTTTAAAAAGCTTTTAAAATGTTGTGTATGTTAAATCGAAACCACAGGTAGTGGCACTTCTGTTTTTTTACGTCGCCACTGGCTTGCATGCTTTAGGACTTGTGGAGCTGCGCATTGATGGATTTGCTCTTCAGTGTTTGGACTTTCAGCAGTGAAAACTAAACCACATTGACTAAACTGAACTAAACTGAACTTAAACTCTGAAAACTGGACTGACAGAGTTTCAATTTACTATAATCTTTTATGGTAAGCTGCTTTGACACAATCTACATTGTAAAACACTATAGATTAATCTAATTGAAATAATACATAATAAAAAACAGTTTAACTGTTAACAAACTGTTTAAGTAAATAAGCCAAAGCACAATTTGAAATACATTTAACCTATTAAATAAATAAACATAATTTAGAACATATGGCTGGATGTAACATATTAAGTAGTTTACAAAATAAACTAAATTAATTAAATAGAATAAAAGATCAGAAAATATATTTCTCATAAAAAGTATTAAATAACAGCCTATCAAAATTAATTTATATAATGTATATTGCTCACTGACTACGGTCCCAGACATGTGCATCTGTCATTTAAGAAATCTTGCACTGAATGCCCTCCGTGAAAGCACACTAGATGCAGGAAAGCTCTAAATAAAATGGGCACATTTTAGGAGAACAGGAAAGTGCTCTTTGTTAAACTTTTTTTCTTAGCGATTTAAATCCAAACCCAATGCAACCCTCTAGTGCAGGGGTCTCAAACTCAATTTACCTGGGGGCCGCAGGAGGCAAAGTCTGGGTGAGGCTGGGCCGCATAAGGGATTTTACAAAAAAAAAGTCCTCAAATGTCATTATTAACAGTTTTAATTATTTCTTCTGAACATGAAGTGTCCTGAACATTAATAGAACATTGAGTGAAGATTATGAACAGTTCTTCTGAACATGGCATCTTTTGCCTACTCCTTGCTGCCAGAGACTTGACAGCGCTTCTTCTCACAAATCTGAACCACATTTGGCTTTAGAGCGGAAGCAGTTAAGACCCTCAGTATGGCTTGCGGGAACTCACTCAAAACTTCCATTCCCTCACACCTAAAAAAAAGGCGTATATGTAGGCGTATAAATAAAACACCCCCACCCCACTCCAGTCACATCAGTCTGTACCAGTCTGTATCTACCTATAATATATATATAAGATGCAGGCTGTAGCTAGGTAGGTGGCAGGCTGCAGATAGGTAGCTAAGTGGCAGGCAGGGGCGGGAACAGCTTACCTTGCTTCTGGCCGGCGCGAGTTCCCTCCTAACACTTCCTGCCCGTCACAGCGTCTAACAAAGGGGCGGGGTGCGTAGTGACGTCACCGGCATTCCCGCCCCTTTGTTTACACGGCGGGCGGGGAATGCCAGTGACAGCTGTGTACGGATGGAATCAGCGGAGCGGGGAGCGCTCTCTCTCCCCGCTCCGCTGATTCTGTCAGTGTACAGCGGTCGGCGCGGGCCACAAAATATTGCACTGAGGGCCGCAAATGGCCCGCGGGCCGCGAGTTTGAGACCCCTGCTCTAGTGTGTCCTAAAGAGACCCTTAAAAAGTGCCCATAATATTTTCTATACGAAAAACAAATGTGTTGACAAACTGACTGAACAAATTGACTAAAAATATGAAATGAGAAGACTTGTGCCTCACCTTTTCTTGATCTGGAAAAGAGCTTGATGCTGGTAGGGGCTGAGCTGGAAGAGGAGCGGAAGATACCACTGAAACTGAGACGGTGGGGAGACTTGGGAGGTGACTCCTGGTGTGAAGATAATGAACGGTGAAAGATGTTTTTTGGAGAGCCTGGACTGGTGCTAGGATGTATGGGAGTATGGGGTTGGCAGATAGCAGCAGACCTTGAACATAGACTAGCTGAGTCACTTGTGTCAACCTAAGGAAGGATAAGTAAAATTTGTTCATAAAATAGGTTGTTAAAATAAACATTCCAAATATATTTTGTCTATTTACATTTCTGGTAAAGTAAGATCATTTTCATACAGAAGAACTACTCCTGAAAAATCATTCTGAAAGCGTAGTGTTATATACATTTCCAGGGATTGCAAATTATGTAGTGAGGGCTTTTCTTTTTCTGGATTGCTTTTCAAAGCACTGTCAGTTGGATTTTGGGTAAATAGGTGGGCGCTGGTCAGTCAGTGCTTTTTAAAACACTATTGGTTGGGTTTAGGGAAGGGGGATGGTGGGGGGATCAGTCAGTTTAACAGTCAGTCAACATTGGCCTCTGGTGGATTTACGTGAGAATAGCAGGTGCGAATGTCACTTGCTAGAGAAATTTGAGGTCTCAAAAAGAATACACAGCTGACTCAGACGGATTTGAAACATAGCTCTTGGAATGAATTTGGCTCTCTCCAGAATTGTATATAGGGATACATAATCAGAATGAGCCAAGTTTGTAAATAATTTAATAACACTTAACTTGAAGGGGTGTTTATAAGACTCTTATGACCCCTTTATAATCATGACATGTTATGAATATGAGTAAGATTCATCACGTTTATGACAACTGTCACAAAATGTCATTCATTTAAATGCAGAGGTGACATTGTTTGAGATGTCATTGTTTTGACATCTTGACATAAACAAATACATCAAAACTTCTTTCTGTCTTTGTTGTGACAACTTGACATTGCCAAGATCACAAAACCTGTCTTTGCCTTTGTCATGCCAACATGACATTACTAAAACAATAACAAAAAAATCTTTACTAAAACTTTACCATTTGGCGTACCAATGAATATTTTTTAAACCTTTTTTCAGTGAAACAAAATGAATTTGCCATTAACATTTCAATCTGCCCCATATTATATTTTTGTACTTGTGTAGATGTCAATAAAAATAATAATGCTGTTATAATATTCATGACAATTAAAATGCCTTCATGACAATCAAGTTTATGACACATTTTTGGCAAGTTATGTTGTCTTAATGATGGTAAAGAGCCCCTATTTTGCATTATAAAAAGTAATATTTTGGTTTTGGGGGTCTCCAACAACAGTCTGATATTCGTGGAAGGTCAAAAAATACTTTCATTATCTTATAATGCTCATTTATTTTATATACTTATTTCAACGTCTCCCATATGATTCATTCAGCGATTCATTTGTTCCCAAATCCCTCCTTTGCGTGATGCTAATCTGCTGTTACCAGTTTTTTTTTCCCTCTCCGCTGTCGCCACTGGCTTGCATGGTTCAGGATCTGTAGAGCTACACATCAATGGATTTGCTCTTCAGTGCTTGGACTCTCAGTAATGACTTTAAACCACACTGAACTGAGCTAAACTAAACTGAACTTAAACACTAAAAACAACTACCCTGATCCAGTTACTATGACCATTTATGTGAAGCTGCTTTGACAATATATATTGTAAAAGCGCTATACAAATAAAGCTGAATTGAATGGAATTGAATTGAGTGTTGGGGGAGGGAAAATGGGAAGAGTTTGAATAAAATGGGAGTTGCCATTTGGCAATGCACTAAGGACCGAGGAAAAACAAACACACACAAGCAGGGGAGAAAGACAGTGTGTTTAATGGTGGTGAAATGTTTGATATAAGAGAAAAAAATAAACCTGCATTTCTCTGTAACAGTGTTCACATTTTTATACACAGAGAGCAGCATTTACAGCGGATCTTTCATAATTATAAAGTTATAATATTGTAGTGATGATAAAGTAAACTAAGTAACTTAGAAATCATTTTGACTAAGTTCTGTCTTTAAACACTTCACTGCAGCACTTAACACTGACGACCCATATCTCCAAACAATTCTTATTCTTTTCCCACTACTTTTGGCAACACAACGTGTGTCGTCTCTCTGCCGTCTGAACACTGTTTCAGGTACAGTCTAAGAAAGCTAGCATGCATATTAATTAAGTTGCAGCGCATACATAATGGAGCGTGCTGATTGGTTTGAACCAAGCCATACTCATAAATGAATGCAACACACTCAGAGACGTAATACGGAACTACCAGGTACAGACGTCCAGTCTACACGCTGGAATACACGCTAAGATATCATGGCTGTGACGCAGCTTCAAAAATTAGTTTCAAACCGGAAGTACGAATTTTCTCGAAATAATGCAAAAACAACCAATTTTTACTTTTTTGTGAAAAATATGTGTCCCAATAGTGTTTTTAGCAGTGTAGGACACATATGTGACTGTCAACAGCTCAAAAAATGTGTTTTAGTGTTTCGTGACCCTTTAACTGCAAATGGCTGATGAATCCCACAATGTAGCGTAGAAAAATGACAGGAACAAACACAGCACTAGTTTGGCTATACTGTGGTAATGTTGTGAAAATGAACTTTAAACCTTTATTCCCCACAGCTGAAACTCCATTTGTCAGTGATTGTCATCTTCATGTCATGATCAGTCCCATGACTCCCCATGCTCTGCTAGTGTCTGAAAAGAAAGGCGCGTTCAAGTTTTACCAAATCTAGCACTACATATTTGGTGATGTACCGTATCGACATTGATGCGTTCAGGCAAAAGATCCGAACCCAACACGATTAATTTATTCGACTCTGAGTTGACAATTTCATTAAAGAATCAATAGTTTTAAACACAGTGAACTTTCAGAATTAAACCTCAGCTAGATATTTTCATTCTTTTAGTGCTGTGTTAAACACTGCATGGAAGGTCATTTTCAAAAACCCATAAAAGGCTCTTTAAGTTGCTATGATAAAGACACAAATGTTTGTTGTCATGAAAAAGATAAAGATAGGTTATGATGTATTTGTTTATGTCAAGTTGTCATAAAGCAATCCCAAACAATGTCATATTTTCATTAAAAAAATTATATAACTAAGTGAAAGACACTTAGGGCTCTATTTTTGAACGATTTTTGCGCAAAACGCACTTTGCAAATGCATTAAAGGTGCGTCTGAATCCACGTTTGCTATTTTAAGGACGAAAAAAACTAATTTGCGCTGCGGTGCATAGTCTAACAGGGTTGAGCTTATTCTCTTAATGAGTTATAGGTGTGTTTTGAGAATAAACCAATCAGAGTCTCATCTCCCATTCCCTTTAAGAGTCAGTTGCGCAGCACCATAGCGCATTTGCTATTTACACGGCAGACTTTGTAAGTGATAAACTGAATGCTTCACTAGAGAAAAAACAGTTAAACAGAGCATCTACAGCGCGAGAATTAGATGAGCATCCTCATTCTTTACTTTCATTTTCACTCTCGTGGATAGGGAAACGTCTTGTACGCACAGACATCCATTAGCAAATACATAATTAATTTAGTTTATTAAGCGCAAAGGTCTTAAACCTGACAGGTGAGAAGATCTAAGCTTGTTTTTATTAAAACAAATATAAATATGCATATAATAAATAATACTGCTAATAATAATAACATTATACAAAAGCAAATTGTCATGAATAAACTGATTTATGTAGACTAGAAAATAAATTTTTTTTGCAATATTTTAATCCCTCAATTATTTTTCATTTGTAAAGAAATTTGCGTATTGCTGTACATCCTGTGTGTATTAAGCAATGTGTAAGCGAGGGGTACAACTAACGCGCTCTGCGCTGGACTTTAGACCTGCTTTGATCTGGTCTATTATAGTTCTTCAAAATAGCAACGAGACAGCAATGCGATTTAACACGCCTCCTTTTTTAGACCAGAATTCCTATGGATGCACATATGAGCACAAATGCATTTGCTATTTAAACAGCGTGCTGCAAAACGCTAAAACAACTCTTGCCCCAAGCTAAAATAAGTAAACAACAATTGCGTCGCACTGCAAATGTCGCTCCGACCGTGTGTTTCTGGATGCAGTGGTTTCCTGCCCCCGGATGATGGGCACGAGCACTGCGTTGCATGTCTGGGTTCCAGCTTGTTAATGCGGTGCTCGCGGGCAGTGCATGGCGTCACTGTGGCAGCATGTCTGTTGCACGGTTGAGATTGCGAGTTGCTCTTGTGAAAGAGTCACCAACCCCTGATGTCTCCCACTCCGCGGCTGGCCACTCGGGCAGATCTGAGGGTTATAGTGGAAGTAAATCTGCCGCCCTCAGGCTTGACGACACCGAGGCTCAGATGTCCACCGCTGCATTGGAGGACGGGCTGTCATTGTCTAATGAAAGATTCCCTCCGCTCCCTCCCTTAAAAGTGAGTGCGGCGGCGGATCTAGAAACAGACATGATACTTTCCTGGGCTGCTTCGGCCGCGTGCCTGGAGATGGTTTATCCCCAGCCCTGCAGCCAAACTGACTAGATAAGTGTATGTGGAGGACTAATCCTTGATGGTTGAGCAGCCAGGGTAAACGAGTTGATTCTCTAGATTTAGAATGCCATTGCGGGACCGCATGGTGCCTTTTTCTGCTGGAGTCCGCCTCTTCTCCCATCCAAAGCATGTTGGTTTTTGGCCTCCCCGGAACCAGAGCCCAAACAGACGCGGACTATGCTGCTTCCACCCTGCACGCTAGGGTCCATGCGAGTGTGCTGGCCCAGCTGCACGATGGTGCCCTGCACCGCATCCGACTGAGCTCCACGGACCTCAAGTCCGCTGCGTGTGCCATGGGAAGGACGATGGCCACATTAGTGGTCCAGGAGTGCCACCTAGGGCTAAAACATGTCAAAGATATGCGCAGAGTCAACAAAGTTCGCTTTCTTGACTCTCCCATATCCCATGCTGGCCAGTTTGGCGACACAATCGGTAGATTGACCCAGGAATTCACGGTGGTGCAGTCGCCATCCATAACCACTGCTTGTCGCCAAGAGCGTTCGCCTACGAGAGCTGCCCCGCCCTGCCTGTGCCTCCGGTCAAGCGGCAGTGTCGAGCACCTCGCAGACAACTGGTGCTCCCTGCCCCAGGGTGCCGCTAAGTCCAGTAAAACGGATCGCGAAGCACTCCTGAGGCAGGCCATC